CACATACGTCGAAGTCCGAAAAATCAAGGGAATCCAAAATGCCATCAGACACAAGACGCTCAACTCTACCTTTTGAGATATGACCTAAGCGCTTATGCCATAATGTCGCCGAATTTTCCTTATTTAATTTACGCTTAGTACCACGTGATTCCACATGCAAGGATTCATTGTAAGAAGCAATTGTATCAAGCAAATATAGGTTGTCATAAATACTCAAGTAACCGGTTCCCACAACATTTGAATTAAAAGATAAACTGAATTGACTGTTTCCAAATGAACAAGAATAACCTGATTTGTCCAATACAGAAACAGAAACCAAATTCCGTCTAAAAGACGGTACTACAAAAGTATCTTTTAAATCCAAATAATAACCAGTTCCTAACAACAACCTAAAGTGCCCAATTGCTTCCACATCTACCGATTGTCCGTCGCCCACAAAGATGTGTCTTTCAACATCACTTGGCTTTCGGTAGCTCAGGCAACCCTGCATAGAAACACTTATGTGAGTAGTAGCACCAGAGTCTAACCACCAAGTGTTTCTAGGTACTGAAGCTAAATTAACCTCAGAACAGACCAAAGCAAGGAACGTACCCTTATTATCACGCCAGGCGTGATATTTTGTACAGTCCTTCTTTACATGTCCAGGCTTCTTACAGAAGAAACAACCCTGATTATCCTTATGTTGTTTCTTCTCAACTGGACCCTTAGCAGCTTCCTTATCATTCTTCCTTTTCTTGCCCTTATCCTTAGAGGCATAGGCCAAATGAGCACTTTCTGTCTTATCTTGCTTCAACCTGTCTTCTTCTTGCACACAGTATGAAATGAGCTCATTTAGAGTCCATTTCTCCTTTTGACAGTTATAACTGACCTTAAATTGGTTAAACTGTGCAGGAAGAGACAACAAAACCAGATGCACTAATAACTCGTCACAAAGATCGAGTTTAAGTGCCTTAAGCTTTGAAGCAATATGAGACATTTCCATAATGTACTCCCTGATATTTCCTTTGCCCTTATACTTCATTGAAATCAAGCGAGCTAAAAGCGTGCTTGTTTCTACCTTATCGTTTTTCGCAAAACGCTTCTCAATTTCGGCAAGGAAATCTTTAGCCTTAGTAATCCCTTCGGATTCTATGCCCCTGAAGGCTTCCGGAACGCCGCGCTTAATGATCATAAGACTCATGCGATTTGAACGCTCCCACTTCTCATGCTCCTTCTTTGCATCAGGAGTGCTATCCGCATTGAGAGGTTGGGGTTGTTCAGTTCTTAATGCATAGTCAAGATCCATGCAGCCAAGAACAATTAATATGTTCTCTTTCCAAACCTTGAAGTTTGTCCCATTTAGCATGGGAATTGAGTTGATGTTAGCAGAAATTGTTGCAGCAGATGCATTAGCTGAAATAAAACAAAAATGCTCACATCAATAACCATAATCAATAAAATTCAAATAATGACAATCCCCATCCAAGATACCGGCACAACATTAATATCAAGTCTTTGGACAGTAATATTAACTTGTAAGTGATACCTTGTTGCAATGATCAAACATTGACAATAACTCATGTCAAATAATGAAACTATCTTTGGATCGATTCATTATTCACATGTAAACCTTATAATTGTCACACGCTTATCATCGCAGATGTGTATACAGTCTAAATAAATATTAACCTTCCTTTGGGCCGATTAAATATTTACACGAAAGCATACACACAAACATCTCACATTCCTCATGAACAATCTACACAAGAGAGGTTACTTTGGCAACTTCTTGTTTCAATTAATCAATTGGAGTGAGAGACAACCTTAATACCTTAGTGTCATAATATTTGAATTAAATAATTGATTAAAAACCGAATTAGATTTAAATTAAAAATTTTTAATTTAAATCAACTGAATTTCCAAAAACTTAATTGGGGTCTCACAGCTTAATTAGGGCCCATAACTTAATTGAATAAATTAAGTATACCAAAGTGGACCCATGAAAAGCCGAGGCTTAACCATAATGAACACGAAGTTCCCTTAACTTCGAACGCGAGGTTCGACTGTATTGAGTACGAGACTCACTTAAGCACGAACGCGAGGTTCGTCTGAAAATGAACGAACGCGAGGTTCGTTTGATAAAAGAACGCGAGGTTCAACTTGGCGAGGTTCGTCTGAAAATGCACGAACGCGAGGTTCGTCTGAAAATGAACGAACGCGAGGTTCGTTTGATAAAAGAACGCGAGGTTCAACTTGGGAACGAACGCGAGATTCGTTAAAAAAATGAACGCGAGGTTTAACTGAAGTACGAACGCGAGGTTCGTCTGAAGTACGAACGCGAGGTTCGTCTGAAGTTCGAACGCGAGGTTCGTCTGAAGTACGAACGCGAGGTTCGTCTGAAGTTCGAACGCGAGGCTCGACTGAAGCACGAACGCGAGGTTCGTCAAAATTGAGCTTGACGCTCACCTGAGTTGAACGCGAGGTTCACCTTAGAACGAACGCGAGGTTCGTTAAAATTGAGCTTGGCGCTCACCTGAGTTGAACGCGAGGTTCACCTTAGAACGAACGCGAGGTTCGTTAAAATTGAGCTTGACGCTCACCTGAGTAAGGCGAGGTTCGTTAAAATTGAGCTTGACGCTCACCTGAGTTGAACGCGAGGTTCACCTTAGAACGAACGCGAGGTTCGTTGAGCGCGAAGCTCGGTTAAAATTGAACGAACGCGAGGTTCGTTTGAGGTAACCACCTCCTTAATTTTCGCCATGAACCCTTAGGGTTTCAAATTGAAACCGCCGCCGACAAACCCAAAAAACCTTTGATTTTTATCTTTAATTTTTATTTTCAAAACAGATCCAGAATTGGAAAAAATTGAAGAAAAAATCAAAGAAAAATCCAAAAAATTCCCAAAAGTTACTGTTCATTCGAAAACTTTTCGTTACTGTTCATCCGAACCCCAAAAATTTTACTGTTCATCCGAACCCAAAAATTTTACTGTTCATCCGAACCAAAAAATTTTACTGTTCATCCGAACCCAAAAAAATTGAATCTTTAACCAGAGATTTAAGATCAAAAACTTACTGTTCATCCGAACCCAAAAAAATTGAATCTTTAACCAGAGATTTAAGATCAAAAACCCAATAAAACTTAAATCCCTAAGAATTAATCAAGGTGGCTCTGATACCACTTGATAGATCTACATCATAAAACTTGAGATCTAAAACCATATAGCCATGATTAATTCAAAGAGATTAACAAAATCAAAAGAGAGCGGAAGCTTATACCTGAATCCATAGAATGATCTTGATTTTGGGTTTTGGATCTTCTAACCTTAGGGTTTTCTCTTTTAGCCGAATTTCTCTAGCTAGATGGGGGTGTAGAGAATTAGAGAATGTAACTCTAGGTTAGGGACCATAACCCCTTATTTATAGATGTTGTACTTTTGTAATTTAGCCCCTCAATAAATTACAATTACAACCTGGTATCTGCACATATAACCCCATGACTTATTTAAATACCAAATTAACCCAACTTAATTGATCACTTTAATGGGTTATCCTGAAAGATAGCAATACACATTGATTAATCATATGTGCCCACAAATAGATTTATTAGATTAAATCCAACACTTTGAAACTTATTACCCCTGTATTCTTGCAGAGAGAACCCCAGATGAAATCTTTTTTTGACTCTTTTATCCTCGGATTTAGACTCTCGCTTCACCAGGGGTAATATCCGCAAAGACTACACCCAGGGGAAAAGAGTGAAAAAATTTCACGTAGGGGTCTATCTGCCAAATCGAACTACAAGGGTAATAAGTTCATAAACGCCAAACTACAGGGGGGCCTATATTGCAAGTAACCCCCTTTGACTATGTTGTGATAATTAACCACAAAAAACAGAAAATAGAGAAACAATCACAAACATATAATATTTATGTGGTTCGATCAAATTGATCTACGTCCACGGCAAGAGAGGAGTTTCACTATATTCAATCTCTCAATACAACGCACATACAAAATTTAAGAGGACTCTCCTTTTTTTGTGTGTGTAGCTCTCCCTTTCAGGTTGTAAACACAGAGAGAGTTTTAAGAGATCGAATGATAGATTGTGAGAATCCAACAGGGGCCACCTCAATTTGACCTCTCTCCCCTGAAGTGAGGGCGACATTGATAACAACCTCCCTCCCCCAAAGTCAAATTTTGTGTTCTTCCTTTCAAAACAAAATGGGCCCCGGTCATTTGGCCAAATTCAAGCCAATTTCAACAGACTAAGTTAGTTCCATCGAATTATATATATTTTTGTGTGGTTTGATTAGAGTTTTGAAGCATGTTATTTCCCTTCAGTAAGGGTACGATGTACAGAAGCCTGTCCAGCGTCATATTGCATAGTGAATTTTGACGTAAATACAATTGGTTCATTTAATTGAGAAACATAAAGCAGGAGATCTACGGATGTGAGATTTGAAGATTTATGTAGGGAATATTCTTATTTGGGAATTCATGTTGTGCGCGGCGGAAGTCAAAACCAAACCGATGTTGATGATCTACTTCATTGTCGCCTTTTTCACTCGTAGAAACAGTAATACAGTAGCTCGCTCCATTGCTAATTTTAGTACTGCTTATAACATTTGTTATCTTGACTGACCAAATAATAATAATAACAACAACATTTGTTATTCTTGAAAAATTTTAGTATTCCGAGTACATCGTTCGGGATTAGTAATATTAACATTTGCTGTTCTTGAATTTCTTCCTGTCCTGAGTTCATTGCTCAAGATCTGAATCGTGATGTAATTTCTCTTGATTCTAATTAATGAAATCCAAGTTTATAATATAGTTTCTATTGATTCTAATTAATGAAATCCACGTTCCCATTTTTTTAAAAAAAAAAGAGATGCAAAATACTATCGGATTTGGGTTAAAATAAAAATAAAAATCTGCACCCGATATCAACCGGAATCCCGAACGATGTCCTCCCTTTAGATACCCGCCACTGAATCTTATTACATAATAAAACAAAACGCAATGAAAAGATCAAAGCAATCAAAATCAAATTTTTATCGCCAAAAATATCGCCCAACGCAAAAACCCTCCCAAAATCGGAGCGAGCCCCCAACAATTTCCCGTCAAATTCAATCAAATCAAAGACTGAATCCTTCAACCGTCGACGAATCCATTGATGCGAAAGCTTCCAACTTGAATCCTCAGGTAAACCCTAGGCCAGACGAAGCACCGAATTCTTGTAGGGATCCCACTGATGAAGCTATTAGGAGACTGGAGCAGCTAAGGATCAGCAGCCAGAAGGCTGATGAGATTTCGCAAGAACAATTACAGATCAACGATCAGCTTCAAGAAGATGAGGTATCATCCTGAGCCTTAACTTTTACTTTGGGGTATTTTTTCGTCGCAAAATCCCAAAATCAAGCACATTTGTAAATTTATCCTAATTTACTTCACCGTCCGAAAACTAACTGTGTTAGAGCTTGGGATTGTTTTAGCTCGCCGTGATAGAATTGACGGGTAAATTGGCAAATATGTACATTTTACATATGTAAACATTGTCAGAAGATATAAATAGTACCTAATTGAATTTGGAATCACTTTACGAACTTCTCTCCATCAAATCTAATATTGATAACATGGATAAAGCCATTATCTTAGCATGACAGTCTTCCATGTCAACAGACTCTTAAATAAAGTAAATCTATGCTAATATTTAAAGTGTAAAAGATTCAAGAATGAGTATAATTTACTTTTTGTCAATATTTCAAGAGTATTGAGCAACAGCAAGGAGCTAACATTTTGCAAAAGAAGGCACATGGACTTAAAAATAAAACGCACCTGCATATTCACTATAACATATAACACATAGATGCAGATCAGTGAGAAAAGCTTCATGACACCTCTCATCATTGTACCTAACCATTGCAGGAACGTCAACCTCGAGAGAGACACTTTTCGAGATTGCTCGAGTGTCTTTGTTGCCCAACAAATTACCTTGACCCAACCTAACTCCATTATCAAACCCAAGGAATGAAAGAGAACAGCTACGCAGCCACTCTACCCACCGATATAAAACCTCCTGCAACGGTTGCTCAGCCCAAATCTCATCCAACATCCGACAAAGACTCGAAATCTTAATGGAATCCAGCCATTGTACATACACTGTGAAATGTGGAGGATGCTGACTAGGGTATGAAGAAGGCAATAAACATGTCAATATAATTGGAGGCAGATATTGAACATTGAACGTATATGAAACATCACCAACATCGTCTCTTTTTCCTAGTTCTAACTGTCTTGTAGATGGAGGAAGCTCTGCCGAGACTGTGAAATCAGCGGGGATTTCAAGATGTACATGAATCTGCAAGGATCGTGAGCCTTCCGTTTTCTCCAAGCTGAAGACATCATCTCCATATATTGCTTCCAATGCCAGCAACTGAGAATCATATATTTTACCCTTAATCTCATAAAAAGTAAAGAAAAAAAGATTATTTTTCAATACATATGTAACCCCCCCCCCCTCCCCCCGAAAAAAAGTCCTAATGGCCAAATTCACTCGTATTTGAAAAATAATCTTTTTTTCTTTACTTTTTATGAGATTAAGGGTAAAATATATGATTCTCAGTTGCTGGCATTGGAAGCAATATATGGAGATGATGTCTTCAGCTTGGAGAAAACGGAAGGCTCACGATCCTTGCAGATTCATGTACATCTTGAAATCCCCGCTGATTTCACAGTCTCGGCAGAGCTTCCTCCATCTACAAGACAGTTAGAACTAGGAAAAAGAGACGATGTTGGTGATGTTTCATATACGTTCAATGTTCAATATCTGCCTCCAATTATATTGACATGTTTATTGCCTTCTTCATACCCTAGTCAGCATCCTCCACATTTCACAGTGTATGTACAATGGCTGGATTCCATTAAGATTTCGAGTCTTTGTCGGATGTTGGATGAGATTTGGGCTGAGCAACCGTTGCAGGAGGTTTTATATCGGTGGGTAGAGTGGCTGCGTAGCTGTTCTCTTTCATTCCTTGGGTTTGATAATGGAGTTAGGTTGGGTCAAGGTAATTTGTTGGGCAACAAAGACACTCGAGCAATCTCGAAAAGTGTCTCTCTCGAGGTTGACGTTCCTGCAATGGTTAGGTACAATGATGAGAGGTGTCATGAAGCTTTTCTCACTGATCTGCATCTATGTGTTATATGTTATAGTGAATATGCAGGTGCGTTTTATTTTTAAGTCCATGTGCCTTCTTTTGCAAAATGTTAGCTCCTTGCTGTTGCTCAATACTCTTGAAATATTGACAAAAAGTAAATTATACTCATTCTTGAATCTTTTACACTTTAAATATTAGCATAGATTTACTTTATTTAAGAGTCTGTTGACATGGAAGACTGTCATGCTAAGATAATGGCTTTATCCATGTTATCAATATTAGATTTGATGGAGAGAAGTTCGTAAAGTGATTCCAAATTCAATTAGGCATCGATAAACATATGTACAAGCGAACCATTGGTTGACATTACCTGTAAAGGACATTCTTATTTAATACAATGCTTAATAGTTGATTGATAACATATTTTCACTACCTCCCTTCAAACTCAGGTTGGGTAGACAGAGAGTTTGTCCAAAATCAACGACCAACAAGCTAAGCAAGTCCACTACACAAAAACTCCTTGCTATAGTATGACACCCATTGTACAGATGTGCTGTCTAGCTAAAGAAAGACCATCACATGATCACGTACAAATACCGTTGGAGTCAAAGTAAATGCGGAAAAAACACAATATGCTGGTGAAGACAATATGCTGATTGATAGGAAAGAATTTAACGAATGAATTCATTCATAAAAAGCTATAAGTTACTTAAATCAAGGTTAAAATGAAAGAAATTGTTGGATATGGTCCGGACGCACAACACAGACTGAAGAATGTACCAGTTTGTTGGAGTGTGTAATCGTAGTCGGAGCAGCCAGGGCTAGTACACTGAAAAGAAAAATGGAATAGGGGTGAGATGAAAATGATAAGATCTAAATTGGCAATATGGATACTTATCATGTCCAAAAAGGATAAACCCTTGTTTTTGTCATAGTCTCATCATATTCTGAGAAGGATAATGCAGCTACCAAGTCTATTCTTTAAATAATTTATTAGAAGGATAATCATGTTCTACCTTGCAGTCTATACTTGAATAATTTATGCATCTGCAAGCTTTAGGTTGTAAGTTTAGTAAATAGCATGGACCATAAGCTTCAAGGTGTGCTGCTTCTCTTTCAGATAGCATGGTTAAGCTTTTGGGCTTTCGGAAGATAGTACCTGTCTTAAATACCTGGCATCTCTTTTAACAGTATCAGACCTCAAGTACTAGCTATTTTTTCATGCATTGATCTTGTGCTTGTTTGTTTGTGTTAATCTTATACTGTGTGGAGGCAACATGGAGCGTAAGCTACTTCTATCCATGGTATTTTGTCTCTTTTATCTATTATTGTCCAGCTGATAAACTCTTCTCAGCAGCTTTTGAAAAATAGAAAATAAACAGTTGTATCAACAACATTCAACTTGAAGCATAATTTAATCCACGCATTTGTTGCATATGGTGCACCACTACATCACATATTGTCCCATGTGGTTTTCTTGATGACTTACTTTTTTGCATAATTGCTACAGAGAATTTATTTTCTTTTGGTCTTTCAACTTTGACCTCTTATCTAGACACTATTAATAGCGTATTAGTCAAACTTTTGTGCGCGAATGTGACATTTAGAACTTATTTATAATTTTATCAGGTACGGATTTTGTCAAACTTCCATGCCAACACTTATTTTGCTTTAAATGCATGGAAACCTATTCCAATATTCATGTGAAAGAAGGCACAGTAACTAAGTTGTTGTGTCCTGATGCAAAATGTGGAGGGCTACTTCCACCTGGTTTACTGAGAAGGCTGCTTGGAAGTGAATCCTACGAACGATGGGAATCGCTAATGCTGCAGAGAACGCTAGACTCAATGTCTGATGTAGTCTACTGTCCAAGATGTGAAACTCCATGCTTGGAAGATGATCATCATGATGCTCAGTGTTCAAAGTGTTTCTTCACTTTCTGCTCCCTTTGCAGGGATCGTCGACATATAGGGGAAGGGTGTCTGACACCGGAAACAAAACTTCTGATTTTACAGGTACAGGATACACTCATAGTGGAAGAGGAATTAATATTTAGCTCTTTTCTATGCAATTCTTTCATTTGAAATGATATGTTACTTATAAATTTTTAAGAACTAATGAGGATGTGCTCTGATAATTGTTTTTTCTCTCACACGTGCTAAAATCATAACCCTACTGCAGATATAGGATATATTCTTCCGCAAAGAATCCATCCTCTTTCTCAATAAGAATTCCAGACATCTGTCATTTCTCTTATTGGAATATAATGTACATGATTGGAGCTTTAGCATGCCTTTTCTTTTGACAACAGGAGCGCCAGAAATCTGTTGACCTCAAAGGAGATCAAAGGCGCAGGGAGCTCGAAATTATTAATAATCTACTTAGTGAAAAGGAAGTACTTCGAAATTCTAAGCAATGCCCATCTTGCAATATGGCAATATCACGAACAGAGGGCTGCAATAAGATGCAGTGCGGGTACTGTTCGCAGTTTTTCTGCTATATTTGTGGTAAAGCGATTAGTGGATATGACCATTTCAGGCAAGTTATTCTTAATCTTGGTGCGTTTCTGGTCGGTTGTGTTAGTTTAGATATGAAAAGTGAGAACTTTTTGAAGGGTAAGTTTACAAACCCCTAAACTTTATAATCATGTAAAATCCCTTTGAATTTCCAAAATTATATGAAACCCCCTTGGAACTATTAGAAATTCTCTTGAACAGTCTAAACGGCTGGAGTTAAAGAATTAACTACCCTTTTTTACTTTCTACCTAACCGAACTTAACCTGTAAATTTTCAGTAAAAATATAAGTACATAGGGAAAAGAAACAATCCAAATCATGTCATGTGCGAATCATGTGACAACCTAAACTAACCGCCGCTGGCCATGATACATGGTATTTAAGTGAAACAAGTTCATGATAAGTTCTATTATTTATGAAGTTTATACTTGTGGGAAAGGCTTGGTTTAGGGGGTTAGTGAAATTTACCCATTTTTTAATGGATGCAGGGAAGGCTGCAAACTGTTCTCTCAAGAAATGATTGTTGAATGGGAGATCAGAGTGAACCAGCGCCAGGTGATAGGGCAGATGCAAGCAGAGTTGGATCCTGCACATGGTCACCCATGTCCAAATTGTCGGCAGTTGAATGCAAAGGTGAATTGACTAACTTGCAACTCGTGTTTTCAAACTGGAGATACATCTCATGGCTTTTGGAACCTTGAAAATGAGTTTCTTTGTTTTGCATTGCTACATCTATTTACAGTTACGAGATTCTTTCATGATAATTAGATTTCCACTAGGCATTTTCAGGAAGTAGTGAAGAAGCGCTCAAGTATGTTAGTTCAATTCTTTCCTTTGGCTAGTAGCGTTATTTACCCTTTTATTCCTTGTGACCTAAGTTACCCTGACACCTCCACCGGGCTCCTGTACCCGTGTCCAACATGTTTCCGGCACTCCTTTTACACTCCTTGACTATCCATATATTTACTCAGACATGCACTCGATTATATAATACACGTTTTAGTTTAGAACACCCATCATACGCTTCTTGAATGTATATCTTACACTTCGTGACTTCTTGCAACTCATTGGACACGTATCAGATTTGTTTCGGTCAGTACCCAGTTCAAAAGTATGGTTTAAAAAATCATCTTGGTATCTAGTTTAAAAACGAGTGGCTTCCCAATTTATAATCTGCTTAATAAATGAAATATAGGAAAAACAGAGAAATTTTAGTTCTCATAACGTTGGAATGAAAAAAACGAAGTTGATCCCATGTAAATTATTAATTTCAATATGTGTGTATGTAGTCGTGTCCCTGAATCCTATCCTTTACACGTATTTGCTGTGTCCTACACGCATATCCTCACCGCACCTGTGTAGCATAGCTTGTGACTGATATTTCTCCTATTGCAAATACTTGTTGTAATCCCCTATCGTAAATTTCACAAACTGCCCCCCAACACCCCCCTCCAAAACCCCAACAAAAAACAAAACAAAAAAAAAATTCTAAATTCCACTAACGCCCATGAATTTTGGAAACCACCCACCTACCTCCCCTGGCAAACTTTCAAAAATTTCCAATGTTCCTGCCCAATGGGGGGAGAGAGGCCACTAACTCTGTTTGGTTTGACGAGGGAACTTCCTAACGATCCTTCGGACCATGACTAAGGGGCACCCCCAACGCATGACCTCAGGTATGCAAGGAATTAAATTCTTGTGGGTGCTCCCTAGGCAAGTCGAATCTGAGATCTTGGATTACTACTCACAGGCAGCTTACCAACTCGGCTAGACCCTCTTGCGCGTGAGTATTCTGGCCACTGTTGTAGCGGAAAGATTCCCTGCCCAAGAACGAATAACATCGATAATTCTGACTTCTTGTTCCTTGATCTCGGTTTACAAATTGGATTACAAAAGAGAGGAAACACGAATTTGGTTTTCCCTTGTTTAAAACTGCCTCTTCGACGTGGCGATGGAGTGCGCTCCCGTAAGCGCTCGCGTCGAGTTTGCTCTCCGTTGACGATGCCGCACGTTTGATTCACGTGGAATGAGTCTTCTCTCTACGAATTTGACGTTGTGAGAACTTGCGTGGCAAGTTTTAGAACTCTGATGAGTTGAGTAACTCTGAAGAGTTGAACTCTATGAAAGAGTTGATATTGAATACCGAAAGTTCGTAATAACCTAAGCGATTCAAAGCCTCTGGATCTCGCGTTGCTGAAGAATGCTTCCAGATCCGATGCATGAAGAAGCCCTCTTGCCGATCTCTCCCTTTGCTGCCAAGTCTCAGCGCCCAATAAATGCAACTTCGGTGGTCGATCCGAGCCCAAAAAATTCCCAAGCCCGAAAAAGGAGCCGCTTGCTAACTGAACTTATCTTCAGTTATTTTATAGAGGTAAGGGGAGGTGAAACCGCCCTTGTAAAATCTCTCCTAAGTGGGGCCCCAGTGTTGTAACGCCCCACAATCGATGTGAAACCGTTTTAGAACCGTGGTCAATCTCATGGTGATGAGTCAAACCCGACGTGGCGTTCAGGACCCTATATACCTCGCCGTCTTTGGAATTGACGACGCCGATGTTGTAGTGTTGATGAACACAATGAACGCGAGGCGTCAACTCGCGTTTTTGGCTTGTTGTTAACGCGGTTCGCGCCTGTGCGTGTTGATGTCTTGTACGCGTTTCGACCTGGCGTTTTGATGTTGTCGATTCTCGTGACGCGGGTTTCTGAAACCTGGGCGTCCTTTAACGATTGTAACGCGGTTTCGAACCTGGCGTTTTTGAGTGTTGCTACGCCCACTGGTTTACGACCTGGCTCTTAACATTGTAACGCGGGTCGCCCTGGCGTTATTGACATGTGCTAACGCGTTCGCCCCTGGCTTCTTTACTGTTGATACACGGGAGGACCTGCCCGCGTCTTGCCTTTGTCATTGCGTTGCAAAGATCATTGTCTTGTAATCTTCGTCTTGGCTCCTTGAGAATATGAGAGTCGTCAGATTGTAACTCCCGATATTGATTGTGAAGGCCGTTGATTAGAGCTTTCATCAGTTGTCGTGAAGGTCGTCAGATTATAACCTTCAGCGATCTATGTGAAAGTCTTCAAATTGTAGTCTTCTGGAAGTCGTCAGATTGTAACTTCCATCATCGGTGTTTGATGGGGGATAAGCTATCTATTGTGATTTTTAGACAGCCTACAGCCACTCACTCTGTTCTTTTTTTTTCTCTTTCTTTTTTCGGGGTGGGGGTGGGGGGAATTGAATCTTATGGGGGTTTCCTGAGACACCCAAAAGTTAATGGGTATTTTGTTAAACTTGTAAAGTTTAGGGCAGTTTCGTGGGAAATCCCCTAAAGTTCATGGGGATTGAAATTTGCCCTATTTAGAACTCACTCTTAGTGCAAACCTTCCTAGAAATTCCTGGCTCCGCCTCTGGCTGGGACTCTCAAAATATATTGGTCTCCATACTCGTCTTAATTTTATTCCTATAGTTACTAAATGGACGACTTGAAGGGGAATAAGAAAACAAAATGATAGTGAAATATTTCATCTGATTAGATTGATAACGTGTCACCATTTTTTCCCCGAGAAATCAATAGCTGCACTTACTTAAAAGCCATTAAGAAGTAGACGCACAATTATACGTATGACCAAAAGATTACTATCATAAGTAGTATGTGTGATATCATAAAACGTGAGGGGGCTCTCTTTTGTTCCCTAGACAAAGCTCAATACGTGTGGGAGGCTAGCATGAGCTAGTGGATTTTGGAGGACCACGAGAAGCATGTGAAGGGCCCTCTTTGCTGGCTTGTGTGTGGGGACCACGAGAAGCATGTGAATGCAAAACCACGTGAAGTGATGAGTTTTCCTAGCGGACAAAAGCCGATTACCCGGTTACCCGATATCATATGCTATATATATAGTTGATGATTCTCTCCTAGGGTGTGCGCAGGAGGAGGAAAAGGTACAGAGCAAAAGAAAAGGCGGCTGAGAGCAGAGAGGGGCTAGGTGCAGGTGAAAAGCAGGGTAGCGTACAGAGGTTTTTTAGGCGGCTATTCACAGAGGAAAGCAAAGTCCTTTTGCAGTTGTTCTTTGATTTGTGTATCTATTTGAGAGAGTATTTGTGTGAGGGATCTGAGAGTTTGTGAGAGGGTTTAGATTGAGTGATTGTAAACCCTAGTTGTGTTCTCTCCCTCTAATAGTAGATCTCCCCCTCCTTGCCCCGTGGACGTAGGCAGTTTGCCGAACCACGTAAAATTGATTGTTTGAGTTTGTGGCCATTGTAATAGTTTTTAGGATCCCTCGACGCGCAGTCCTAGAGCTGACGAGAGGAAGAGCTAATATCCCACTTTGATGGGATATTAAGCTTCAGATTCTTGTTCCCTTTGAGAAACAAGAATTCTTATCGATCTTTCTCTCTTATTGTGCACCAGAAACTCTGTCGAAATTTCCGCTGCGCACAACAGTATGGTAAATACCACATTACAGCTAACATGTTGATGATTACTGATACCAAAGAACTCTTGATATCATCCTGGTATGGTAGTTTTGTCCACTTGTTAAGTGTTCCTTGAGTCCTACAAAGAATGCTTTATGTAAAATTTCTCTGAGTTACTTATTGGAATTTCCATAGATACAGTTAAAATGAAATCCAAGAGAGTGGCTATATTGGCAGGTGGTCCCAGATCCACTGAATTTTTTTGTAAAACTTTAAATAAAACTTGCATGAGAAGGAAATAAAATCAAATTCCTACAAAACTAGGGTCATGTCCTATCACTCGTCAAATAATATCCAAGTAGTATCTACCCATGGTTCTTGAATTTGTGATATAACTGATCTATCAGATTGTTTTAACCTTTAATTGCTAGGTTAACGAAGTTGTTTTCTCATGAAACTTCTGAGCAGATATAGTGTAGGACTTATTCTTGGTCCCTTGCCAAAAGATAAATGCAATGACCAGTTAACTTGTTAGTCAATTTGTTATATTTGCTGGATGTCTGGAGTCGATACTTCTATGTACAGTTATCGTTCACTTGTGGATGTTGGTCATTGATTCTCGGATCTCTTGCTTCGGACGGTGGGTTTGTAAAAACAAATTGTGTCAAGAGTGGTAGGCATTTTAACAGGTAGATTGAGATTTTTATTAACCAACCAAACAAAACAAGGAATTGCAGAAATCAACTTTGTCAGCCAGTTTTCTTAACAATCATCATTTTTGACTAATTTCTGCACAAAGTTTGGTTTTTATGTCCAAGTTGAGGTTGGGGGGGGGGGGGGGGGGGTTGTTAACCATAAAACAGAAACAGTTTTCTGTGGATGGTACAAATCACCCTCAAATTTGCATTAACTTTGTTGGTGGGCATTGTTGACAGGTTGGTAATAACAATCACATCTACTGTTGGGCTTGCCAAATGCACTACTGCGCTCTGTGTCGCAAAGTCGTCAGGCGCAGCTCTCAACATTACGGGCCAAAAGGATGCAAGCAGCACACTGCAGTCCCCTAAAACCCTAATCTGGCATGTCTACTAGTTAGAAAGACTCGAGTTCTTTGAGCAAGAAAAAGAAGCAAAGAAAGAAAAAAAACTACTGCATACTAGAGCTTGCAGCTTGTTTGCTGTCAATTACAGAGATGTATTACATGCACTACGTTAAATAAAAATTTTTCCATTCTATCATTTTTTTTTTTTTGGTTAGAGTTTGAAGTACATTATTCAAGGTGTACAGAGATCTGTATCTTAAAGCAGCGTCATGTTGAATAATTAGTCTTGACTTGCATTAATAAGAGTAGTTCGATCGTTATGTAAAATGATGCAATTTATGACTGCAATAATAATTAATAACAGTTAACTAAATTAAGAGTCTATACGCATTCCGTGCATGCTCTCAACTCCTTATATTATCGCGTGTCATTTCTTTGTTTTGACATCCAAAGAAAGATAAATTACATATAACCCCTCTACTTCCGGTTATATATGACTTGATCAACCTCTGATACTTACTTTATTGCATAGAAGTAAAAGGGCCTTTATGTGGCTTTCTAGTTTACTCTCACCCCTTCGTCCGTCGTATTTCTATCTTTTGCAAATATTGCTTTTCTTTACTATCATTAAATAAAATTTAAGTATTTTCTATAAAAAAAAGATGAAGGTATATACTTGTCTATAGGCTAATGGACATTAAAATTGTTGTGAGTTTACATGTTTATCAGTTTAAAATAAACTGGTTCATAAATGCCAAAGCCCACATAAAATTAGAGTACCACTTTCTCTGCAACCATCTTTTTCTACAACGCAACTTTGCTAAGCAAGTGTGGGACTTCATCCGGTTAAAGTTTGGCTTGGTTAACTTACCTTAGGAAACGGATCATCTTTTTTACTATGTGGAACTATAATTCTATGGTTTTGAAATAATGATGAAATTAAATAAAAAGTTGGCTTTCATCCCTATCGATCGGTTACAAATTTTCTGTAAGTTTGGTGCGTCTAAAGCCCATGGGCTTACGACGAGTCCTAACCCACGCCTTGGTGCAACCCGCAACTGAAAAAGTATCTCGTAAATTCACTTTGGTGTATTTGGCTTAATTTGGTTGCTTAAAAATCATAAGAAGTCAATGTTTACAGATTGTAATAGCTATATATAGCTAGCAAATAAAGTTTCACTATATAACAGGCAGCATGCTTCCATAAAATTCAAAAGTAATTAGGAATAAACAAGAAGGCCATAAGGGGCTGTTTGGTTCCCTGTTTTTGAGAGAAAGACTCTCTTGAAAGCCTGCCAAAAGTACCAAAAGTGTCAAAAGTATCACTTTTTGGTAGGTTTTCAACCAAAATCGCCTCTAAAAAAAGATTTTGGCTGAAAGTCTGTCAGAAAGTGACACTTTTAACAGGCTTTCAAAAGAGCTTTTCCCTCAAAAACAGGGAACCAAACAACCCCTAAGTGTGAGAGCGAAGATAATAGCAGATTGAGTGGCACTACAGGCACACCCCTAACCACACCTTGGGGCACACCACCTCTCTCAGCTACAGTGCACGGGGTCCACTTTAAATTTAAAAAAGGAAAATGATTTAATGACCCAAAATATGGGACCAATGGAGGGGACAGGTGAGATGTCCCCTCCCTATTGCATAATGAGTTGGCCATGCCAACTCATTATGTAATAGGGAAGGGACACATCACCTGTCCCCTCAATTGGTCCCATATTTTGGGTCCCCGTAGCAGCACTCTTTAAAAAAAAAACTAAAGTGGACCTCGTGCACTGTAGCTGAGAGAGAGGATGTGCCCTAAGGTATGGTTAGGGTGTGCTAGTGTTTTCCTAGCAGATTTTATTACAATTTTACATTGGAAGAATATTAGGTTCGCATATAGACTATATAGTATAGCCTCGTGATTCAAAATGTCAGAGAAAGCAAGTGGCCTTGCAAGTTGCATGTGCTTGTAGGGATCAGTACTAGCTAGTACTATATATTCTGTTTGGTTTTTCTAAGACATTGTCATTTCCTCTACTTCAACTTATTATTCTTCCCCACTCTATATGGTGCCATGAAGTCCACAAGGTTATAGGCCTCTCATGAATTTTTTTGCTTAATTATTATGGAAAGCTAGTTGTTGTCAAACAAATAATTTAACTAAATATTTATTATATGAACAGATGAATGATGCCCGGCTGTCAGGGTTTAGACTCTAGCTAGCTGAGAGATATATTATCTAGACTTAACTGTTAACACCTTAATAATCATAAAACAGATCAATTAAGAACGAATATGAATTTTAATTACTCGTTAGACATGCAAATTAATGGCTATGATAAAAGCAGTTTGTGGTTTCTCCTCTCCATTTTGACACAAGAGATCGAGGATCTGAATCCTCGTGATAATATTATCGCATATATATTATACATACATACATCTGTGTATCAGTTACCATAAACTAAAGCAGAATGATGGAAAATGTTATGGTAACTAAAGGTGCTGTTTGGCAATAGGTAAACTTATTAGTTAACCCTTCATAAGGCGATTAATAACATTTGAATTGGATGGTCAAGATGAATGATCAAACTTATTTATGTTTGGCAAATGAAAAAGGATAATTAAGGAGGTTAGTTATCATAAACATCTTTCCTAAATTAATCGGGTACTATAATATTTTTTGTTGATATATATATATATATATATATATATATAAAACTTATTTATGTTTGGCAAATGAAAAAGGATAATTAAGGAGGTTAGTTATCATAAACATCTTTCCTAAATTAATCGGGTACTATAATATTTTTTGTTGATATATATATATATATATATATATATATAGGAGAAATGCTATTCCGGATGATTATATTGTATTTCTCCAAGAACATGAGGAAAGTAGTGGAATGTTAGAAGATGATCCAATCAACTTCTCTCAGGCCATGAAAAGTTCTAACTCTCAACAGTGGATTGATGCCATGAATGAAGAGTATAAGTCTATGCAAGACAATAAGGTTTGGGAACTTGTCCCATTGCCAGAAGGTGCAAAACCAATTGGTTGTAAATGGATTTTTAAAACCAAGCGGGATGCAAACGGTAATGTGGAGAGGTATAAGGCGCGTCTTGTGGCTAAAGGCTATACTCAAAAGGAAGGCATTGATTATACAGAGACTTTCTCTCCGGTTTCATCGAAAGACTCTTTCAGAATAATCATGGCACTTGTTGCTCATTATGATCTTGAGTTACATCAGATGGATGTTAAGACTGCATTTCTCAATGGAGACATTGATGAGATGATTTATATGGTGCAACCAGAAAACTTTGTGTCAGGAGACCCAAAGAATATGGTTTGCAAATTAAGGAAATCCATCTATGGACTCAAGCAAGCTCCTCGTCAATGGTATCATAAGTTTCAACAAATAGTTATCTCGTTCGGTTTTGAGATGAACATTGTTGATGACTGTGTATATCACAAGTTCAGTGGGAGTAAGTATATTTTTCTGGTTCTGTATGTGGATGACATCTTGCTTGCCACTAATGATATAGGCATGTTGCACGAAACCAAGAGATTTCTATCAAAGAATTTTGAGATGAAAGATCTTGGGGACGCCTCTTTTATATTAGGGATCCAGATACATCGAGATCGCTCTCGGGGTATTCTTGGATTATCACAAAAGAGCTATATCGATAAGGTACTTAAAAGGTTTGGCATGCAAGATTGCAGACCAGGTGACACCCCTGTTGCTAAAGGAGACAAGTTTAGTCTCAATCAGTGCCCTAAAGGTAACCTTGAAATTCAGGAAATGCAGAAGATTCCTTATGCTTCGGCTGTAGGAAGTCTAATGTATGCTCAGGTATGTACGCGTCCGGATATTGCGTACATTGTTGGGATGTTAGGCAGATACTTAAGCAACCCTGGTATGGATCATTGGATAGCAGTCAAAAGGGTTATGAGGTATCTTCAGAAAACAAAAGATTACATGCTCACATACAGAAAATCAGAGAAATTAGAGGTCATTGGGTATTCGGACTCTGATTTTGCTGGATGCCAAGATAGCAGGAAGTCTACATCAGGCTACATTTATATGTTAGCAGGAGGAGCTATATCATGGAAAAGTGTCAAACAAACACTAGTAGCTTCCTCCACTATGGCAGCAGAATTTGTAGCTTGCTATGAGGCATCCAATCAGGGAATATGGCTGCGAAATTTTGTCACGGGACTGCGCATTTTGGAAAATGTTGAAAGACCACTAAGGTTATATTGTGACAATAAATCTGCAGTAATGTATTCCAATAACAACAGGAGCTCAACTAAGTCAAAACATATTGACATTAAGTTCCTGGTTGTGAAAGAAAGGGTACAGAGTGGACAGATATCCATAGAGCACATTGGGACAAACTCCATGTTAGCTGATCCTCTTACTAAGGGATTGCCACCTAAGGTCTTTCATGAGCATACTGCTCATATGGGTGTGGTATTATTTGAGGATATTATGTTTTAGTGGGAGTTTGTATTTGTGGTGCTTTATGTTTGGTTGTATTGTCTGATCAGAATAAAGTATTCAGTTAAGACACTCTGTTACATTATGTTTGGTTTTGACCTCACTAAGGAGGACCAGTTGAAAATAGACATGTACTGATCACATTGCATGTAATTTTCATGCTGCACATCCATGATTGATCTATGTCGTTTGATTGTATTGGTATATGTGACCATTGATGGGTCGAGTCACGATAAATGTGACGAAGGCCGCTTTGATCCTATATTGATATAGTCAATGGACGAGATTGTTCGGAAATACCTTTTCAGTGATAGCAATTTTGAGCTCATAAGGTTATACACAATTTAAGGAATCATATGGTGCCCAAGTGGGAGATTGTTGGATTTAATCTAATAAATCTATTTGTGGGCACATATGATTAATCAATGTGTATTGCTATCTTTCAGGATAACCCACTAAAGTGATCAATTAAGTTGGGTTAATTTGGTATTTAAATAAGTCATGGGGTTATATGTGCAGATACCAGGTTGTAATTGTGATTTATTGAGGGGCTAAATTACAAAAGTACAACATCTATAAATAAGGGGTTATGGTCCCTAACCTAGGGTTACATTCTCTAATTCTCTACACCCCCATCTAGCTAGAGAAATTCGGATTTAGAGAAACCCTAAGGTTAGAAGATCATCAAAAACCCAAATCAAGATTTCATCCATGGATTCAGGTATAAGCTTCCGCTCTTTTGATTATTTGTTAATCTCTTTGAATTAATCATGGCTATATGGTTTTAGATCTCAAGTTTTGATTTAGATCTAACACGATCCACACAGACGAACTCATTG